CCTTTAGCGCTCAGGAGGATTGTGAAGGAAATCGTGACATGTAGTAAAACCTCAACATATTTCTGTATAATGTAAAAGGATCTGAATAATTGGTGATAATTAGGTGAGATATGCCTTAAACTGATGATATATTCATAGTAACAGTGTTCAAACTGGTTCAAGCATCGAGGTCACCTAGGTCATGACCCTGCTTATTTTAATCTAAGACTTTAAAGAGGCCCTTTTATCATTTTCAGGTTTCATAATTGTGTTTTTTGCATCTACTGTGACACGTTTACATGCTTTAATGTTTAGAAAGGGCTGCCTGTGCTGCACCTCTTTCACCCTCTGTCTGAAACCAGAGCCCAGTCTGCTCTGATTGGTTGGCTGGATGGCTCGATTGTGATTGGTCTACAGCTTAGAGATGTCCCCAGCCCTTATCCTAGTAAACCTACTTGGTAATAAAACCAATTCTGAAATCTTCTAACTTAACTCACATTAAACAGTGAATACAAAATATTTAACTATTAGTCTTTAGCTAGGCCCCTCAAACATGCATATACAAATATTCTACTATCACAAAATACCTCCTTCTTATGGCACATTCATATTAATGTGATGTTCTTGCATACCCATTTGAATGTGAGTTTTTCTTCTCAGTTCTTTCCAGCTAATCAGTTGTATTCAAAGCACCATCTGCCAGCTTCACTAACCTGAGGCAATGAACATGTGTTTCTACAGTACATGGAATCATCTTTATAACCTTTGACTCCCAACTTTTCTTTCTCTCTCCCAGGAGGGGGGAGGAACTGTGGTGTTCACGAGCTCATCTGTGCAAGAAAAGGTAAAGCCATGTTTACAACCGAGCATTGCACTTGTGTGTCTGCATTAAAAGGATGGTTCAGGTTGTTTGAAGCAGCTCTGTAGGAGGTACTTATCCATAGTCAGCGTATTACTGTACCTGCAGGGGATAGATGTAACGCTTTCAGTTTGCAGAAACAGACCAAAGTAACAACACAGATGCTAGGCAATGTACTGTGGATGGGGGCAGCAGCAACATCTAATTTAGCCACCTAAAAGAAACAATATTAGTGGAACTGTATGTTATATTTAGAATATTAACATTTAAACACCCAGAAAAAACACTAATAAACTGACCAACATGGCAAGGGTAGACCAGCACTTCACAACTTCAGTTTCCTATAAAAAGAAATGACAGCAAGGTAAAGCTATACAAAGATATTAATTATAGCATACACTTAAATTGATATATATTCTTTTAAGAAGGGCCTTTATTTAAAAATATGTTTTACTGCTGTCCCATTGCTTTACATATGTGCTGGTACTCAAGTCAAAGTCAACTTTAATGTCAATCTTACTCAGTTCGTGTTTACAGACAGAGATATCGAAATGACGTTTCCAACAATCCCGAATGTAAAATTATGCAATATGCAAATATGTATAAAATATGTATATCCTATATACTCAATCAACAGACACATTATGCACACATTAAGATAAAAAAACACAACAATCAATATATACAAAATAACAGTCACTTCAATATCAATATCTTTGGTGCAAGATAGTCCATAAAATATGCATTTATTGCAGATTGTCCATAGCAGCCTAAAAAAAGTGTGCTGGATTTGAGTATCTGAGTGTGTGTGGGGAGTTATAGTCCAGTGGGGGCTCCTGTCTGCTTCTCCAAACTGGTGGCTTGCTTATCGCCATCTACCGTAGAAAATACACAGACTGTGGATAAATACCTCATTAATCCCTGCTTCAAACAACAAGAACTTGTATCACTTTGTGTGTGTTTGTTTTGATCCCGAGCATAATGCTGTGCGTGCTTTGTAGTACTTCACAACATGACTTTAAAAGTAAAACAATTGCTATATCCAGTTTTACCTGAGGTTTGGTGGAAACAAAGTGTTTCTAGATAAACTACTGAAAGCATAATGACCGCCTGTGAATTATGCACGCCGTATCAAGTTTAGGTTTACTTCAGCAAAAGGCAGCAGCTGTGTTCATGATTTATTCAGCATCAAGGTTTTGTTTCGTATCAGAAGTCCATGTGTAAGCAACATTTCCAGATTGCCTACCTACTTTTTTAAACAAGCACACCCTATAAACTCAAAGTTAAACATGCACTGATCCAAAAGCTTCAAAGTTGGATAAGTAAATAGATTTATAAATGAATGGATAATTTATGCCCACAATGAGGATATATGTATTGCAAAGATGTATAACAACAACAGTCATTTCTTTCCCTTCTTTTTATGTCAGAAAAACTATTTATCCTAATGAACTCAAGTTTCTCTGAGGGTATTGTTCATTGCTTGTTTGCACTTTGAATGGTTCAGTTGCTGTGTTTGTTGTTTGTTAGTCTGCTTGCTGAAGTCATTACCTGGTAGAAAAAGAGCAGATTGAATCCTGAGTTCAGCATCAGTTCACACGCCATGACAAATCAACATATTTACTCAGTTATGTGTTCTTGATCATTCTGTTCAGACAGATAGAGAGAAAGGAAAGTGGCTGAGGGAAAAAAAGAAAACGACTTCAATGTGCTCTGTTTTAAAGAAATAATGATGGGTTTTATAGCAGAGAAATAACTGATTGATGGTTGAGCTGCTCGCTATGACTCAATTTGCCAGTGTACATGGATGGAGGCTTCAGGTTACCTCAGGTTACCTAAATGATTCAGCTCTTGTTGACATTTACAGAGCAGGGCCACGTATGAAGTGTCTTCACACTCCGGGCCACGAGTTGATCATTTTGACAAGTCGCCGCTGTTCCCGATGGCCGCAGAGGTCATTCTGGCTCAATCACCACCACCGTCTGCAGTGAGAGTTGATACGTACGCCTGGAAAGTGCTGGCACGGACTTAAGTGTGAGGGATCTATTACATGTCGGATTACTTCAGAGCAGGACAACTTTGTTTTTCCCCCTCGTCTTAGATCTTTTACTCTCTATAGCAGCAGAATAGTGCTTTTTGGGAACAGCTGGTGTTAAAGAGGATATTCATTTAGCAAAGGTAAGCTCCTGCCGCCACATCGCCTCTCTCTTATCTCACTCCTACTTCTCATCTTCTCAGCATTCATCACTTTGGCAGTTCTGCGGCAGCACTAGTTGTCAGGCTGCAGTGGTCTCTGCCTGTTGCCATGGTGAAACAAGTCCATAAGTTAAATCTGTAGTCGGGAGGGGTGAGAAACTATGACTCTTATGTTTCTCTCCTGCTTTCTCATTTGTGCTCTCTGGGAAATCCAATTTAATCAGTGACAGGTGATGGTTGTTTTTTAAATGAGCCCCGGCCATAAAACACATGGTACAACATTTGGCCTGCATTACCATTGGTTTTTTTAAATATATATGTTATTATAGGGCTGCTACTTACACATCATTTGATAATCGAGTTGTCAGCTGCATATTTTCTTAAATCCGTCAATTCACTATATCTATTAAGCATCAAACATTTTTGAAAAAGTCAACTTATGTTTCCCAGAGTTATGTCTTTTTTTTTTTTTTTTAATACTATGATTACGAATGTTCAACACATAAGGCAAAACAATGACAGCAAATCCTCACAACTGCCAGGGGACTGAGGAGAAAAATAAGCTTTGAGCTACTGTATGATGTTGTCAATGTTACTGTAATTAAATTATGGAATGTGATCCCTGTCAAATTAACTTCTAATAACTCAAACGAAGAAGCTGGGACTTGGACATTTCTGGTAGTTTTGCTTAAAAATTTAAATTCTGATTCAAAGAACGATGCAAATAAATATCACTATCATTTTTTTCTAGCGTATCCTGGAACAAAACTAATGTAGCAATGACAACTCTCTGCCTTGGAAGTAACGAAGTTTTTCTTGCGACAAGTAAGCTAATTAGCTGAACATGCTATCTTCTGCGGCCTGTAGAGCAAACAAACACACAAATCCAATTCTTAGAGCTTTTATTCTTTGGTTTTGGTCCACCAAAGCACTGTGGAGATTTATAGCACTCCTACAGTTGCTAAGTTACGATTAGAACATGGTTGCTCAGGGGACAGGTTTAGTAAACAGTCAATAATAAACACCTGTGTGGGTGTTCAAAGCCTTCAAGATTGGTGACCCTAATAAAATACTGAGGGATTCATTGTTGAAAATGTCAACTGGGATCATAAAAACTGGTGTTGAAAAACCAGACACCACATATTATGGGTATTCATTTTACAAGCTGCCCTTTCCACTGGGGCATTTGGTCTTTAGAAATATCGTTCATGCTTCATTATCCATAAAACTTCCCCTTTTCTCCAGCTATTGCGATGTGGTGTGTCTGCGTTTTAACACATGAAGTGCAGGCCCAGTGCGGTTTGGCTGGTTTAGTCCACATTTAATTCAGATACAGCTCCTTTGAGGCTCTCATAAAAATAGCACATCAGCAGCGCAGAGCAGCATGGTTACATGCAGTATGGTTGGCCTACATACACTGCAGTAGACTGTGTGGTGCCGTTGAAGTGGAACAACCATTGACTGTTTAGAAACACACTATGCTCCACTGACAGGGCAAGATTTAAGGAGTTTGATTCCAAAATAAGATGCTTATCAGAAAGATGTACTTTTTTTTTTACTTTAAACTTGAAGCCATCTGTGTTTGTTTTTATTAACAGCCATTTCTCTTAAGAACACGAGAAATGTAACTGTTACATATCTCCATAATCAGTATTATGTTTGTCTAATTTTTACATTATCTCTTTTTCCTGTCTGTCTTTCCTTCCCCCCCCCCCCGCCTCGCCTCCCTTCCCTTTATTTCTGTTTCCTCCTCAGTCTCTCCTGAGCTTCTGGGTGTCCTGTCTTCCATTACAGCCTTCATGGCGGTGATGGCTCTGTTTTTTCTTTACCTCAGCAACAAGCTGTCAGTGGCGAGTCCTGACGACCTGTCACATCTCAACAGGTTTAAAGAACAGACATCCAGGTACTCATCACACACACAGACCGACCACAGTGGCTGCATTTACACACACATTAGGAAGATAATTCAGTTATTCTGTGCAAAACATGTCCTCTTCCAAAGAAACACTGAAGATGTACAGACCAGGGAGCTGGAGGAATAAGATCAGGAACAAAAGGACCTCAGGGAAAACAGACGGGAACATAGCCGACGGACTGAAAAAGCAACGCAGGCGTATATAGTGACATGACTAATTACATTAACAAGAAACAGCTGAGGGCAAGTAAAGGCACAGGGGAGGCAAGGAGCTCACACACAGGTGGAAAGAATCAGGGCAATTACAAAGGCAGCAAAACACACAAAGACAGGAATTAAAAGCAGACGAGGCAAACATTTCAATTGCATTTCAAAATAAAACAGGAAACATCAAACACAAAAAGATCATGATAAGCGAATTACTTTATTTCTTATTCAGTTGCATCCTCAGAGCACCACCGTAAGGTCCCCATCCTTTCATAGAGGAACATTAAATAAGCTCCAGTTGTGTAGGCGTAAAGGCAATAAGACCCAATCCAATACGCACATAAAGAAGTGGGTTTTGACACTTATTTTATTGGACTTTTGCGTGCAATGTGTCCCAATAGTGGTTTCATATGTGTTTGTATGCTGAGCTTTGCAGCTGTATAGTTGTCCTGAATAAGCCAAGATGTGTGAAAAGCTAAATCTGAACTATGAATGGATCGCAAATGATTTTGTGATTCATTCATAATTCAGTTTTTATGAACAAACATGATTAATTTTAGAGCCACTGTTGGTGTTGTTGTTGCAGGTGGTTTGCATATCTACAGTAGGCCTACAAATAATGCAGTATCAATATTAATGTATCTGTCTCCATAACAGATCAGCTGCTGCTTCAATCAGGAGGGACGGTGTTGATGTAAGAATACATATTTATTGCGCAGATACACAAATGAATGTAATGGTGATTTTGGCGATTAGGCCCCGTTGTGCAGGAAGTATCATTCGGGAGGGTAGAGCCGATCCGATGAAACCCCCCTGGGGTCTAGACACTGGTGGTGGTGAATGGATAGTTGGGTCGTTCTGAAGGGGAGGGGCTTAACTTGACCCTGGATTCAGAGGGACAGGAGGTGAAAAGGGTGGAGGAGGGTTGCGTCGAGTCACCTGAAATGACAGCTGCTGTCAGCAGATTTAAAAGGTTTGACAGAGCGTTATGATAGGCTCTTGGGAATAGAGCGAAGTGATTGGTTAAGCTGAAGAGTGACGCCCCCGGTCACTTGTTGAGAGGAGAGAGAGTAGTTGCGTAGGAATAGAAATACATGAAGAGTAAAGACGGTCTTCCTGGTTGAACTTGAGCTTCATTTGTTGACAATCAATAACCTTGTGATCAAAAAGTGCGTTGCTATTCGATAAACCCCAAAAGATTGATATACAGGATCAAAAATGAGAATATATCTGCAAGGTACTGGGCAGCATAGGAAACACTCAGTCTGAAATAAACAGTTAGAATTTGGGGAGCAACACTGAGAATGAGAAAAAACGTGTTTAAGTTGAGTAACATTTTTTGAACTGCAGCTACGCCGGGTTTATAAATGAATGTAAATGTTATTGTGGTTAAATAATTAAACATGAGAAAACAAGATAGCTCTTGCTTCAAAAAAAGTATAACAATCTTAGGAGTATTGTTTAGTATATACGTGTTGATCTCAGCTCACATTGTGATGCTGGCTCCACACCCTGCTAACAACCACATGTCCTATCAGCGCTCTGATGAGATAATCTAGCGTCCCCGGCTGAGAGATGGCCTTCTTCAAGAGTTTCCAGCAGAACCTCCCCACTGTCAACATTTCCTCCCTCTTGGACTCGGTCACCAGCCGCGTGGACGACCTGGCCACGGCCGTCAGCGACGCCACGTACGCCGTCAGCGACCAGCTCACCGAGCAGGTCACCACCATCATCAACAAGGTGGACGATGGGGAGAACAACGGGCAGGAGTCGGGTCAGACTTCCACAGCACAGGAAGGAAGAAGCAAGGCCAGCAACACCGGATCAAAGACCAACCAATCCGGGGAAAACAATGAGGCCGAGTCCGCTCCGAACCAGCCGGAGTGGGAATGGAGGGACGGATGCTGGCGAGTTAAAAGGACAGAAGCCGAGTTGGAAGAGGAAGGGAAGAGGAAGAATGAGGAGAAGGAGCAGCAGGAGAAGAAAGAGCAGAGGAGGAGAGAACGGAGAGAAAAGCAGCTGGAGAAAGAAGCCAAGGCACAGAAAGACAAAGACGGAGATCAAGAGGAGGATGCTTTAGAGAAAACTGATTGTGGACAAAATCGAAAGGGGAGTGATGGCGGAGACAACTCCATCGATCAGAAAAAAGAGAATGACTGTGAAGAATCACCTCGTCCTCAACAGAAAAAGCAAAAAGAAGACGGAGAAGAAGAGAAGGAGGTGGCGGACAGCCTTGAGAGAGAGGGAGATGACGAGGAAGAAGCTGAAGTGACCAAGTCTTCAACAACAGGGAAAAAGAAGAAGTCAGACAAGAAGAAGAAGAAGAAGAAAAAAACGAAAGATGATGGGAGGAATTCAGACGAAGCCTCGGATGTGGAGAAAAAGAAGGCGAAAGGGAAGAAGAGCAAGAAGAAAAAGAAAGCAAACAAAGGTTAGATGGTGTGCTGCTTCTATGTCACCGCCTCCGTTTCTACTTTTCTCTCAAACTAAATATTTAGATTTTTTAACTGAAGTTCTTCAACTTTCCAGCGTGCTGAGTGCCAGTTTCAGCATCTGCGTCGTTGTTCCTGTCTCCTGCATTTATTTAAACATTGCAAACATTGTGTTTTGTGAGAGAAATGTAATGTTTGAACAAGAGTCTCCGTGTTTTCTGTCCAGAGGGAGTTTTATCCGACAGCGAGGAGGAGAAAGGCCCCGAGGACGCGGCTCCACAGAACAAGACTTCAGCGTGGAGCAACAAGAGCAAACAGTCCACAGAGCAGGGGGGCTACAGCAGTGAAGCCTCCAGCGGACGAGGTGAGAGGGGGGCAACATGGTATTTAACCTGAGCACATACGGTGAAGAACATATATGTCACACTACATAAGAGACACACTGCTTATGTATTAAATAGAAAATAAAGAAAACCATTAAGGACTGCAAACATATAACACATACAGATAGTTTAATTCTGGGGGCAGTAATATACCACAATAAGAAATATAAAAACAGATGTAACACTATTATCCGATAGATATGTGTTTATCTTACTGCTTCTATGTGTTATTCTAAATCAATAGTTTCACATTGTGGTAAATACCCGCAGTGAGATAGAGGAGAAGAGTTATACCACATTTCAAGGGATGTTTGACTATTCCTTTTATTGTCATTGTAACATTATACAGTTAACCATTGTCTATTTTTCCAACAAACATACATTATGAGTTGATTTGTTGTTGCTTCATCATTACGTTAAATTACATAAACCATTAAAACTTTGGAGAATTAACAATAAAAACGATTGTTTGAGTTTGATGAATCTAGGCTGTATTAGCTCAAAAAAGATGGGCTCACCCATGTGTGCGGCACAGTTTAAGAGGTTAACCTGACTCTCTGGTGGACTGTATGTTGCATACATAATGAATTCCTCCACAGAGCACAATACATCTCGGGTAACACCGCTCTCTCGTATCCCGTTACTCCCCCCCGTCCCCTCTCTCTCTGTCACTGTCCTAAAAGTAGCCAACAGCATCCAGAGAATAAAGAAGAACTCGTCCCTCGGCGAGCCCCGGCCTCCTCCCTACCAGGACGAGGGCTCGGGGGGGCGCGTGTCCTCTCGATCGCGGTCAGAGCGAGGGGTCCGCAGGGGGTCTTCGGCGCAGCGCTGCGACAGCCCCCGCTCCAGTGAGGCCAGCGCTGACCAGGACACTGAGAGCTACCTCAACAAAAACTGTGAGGAGGACATCCCCAGTGACAGCACGGCTGTTCTGGGACCAGAGGTGAGGCCAACGCTCTCTGTGCCTTTAAAGGTCACCTATTGTGAAAAATCCACTTTATCATGTATTTTCTACATCAACATGTGTCCCCTCTGTGGAAAGAGATTCTGAACGTTTCAGCAAAAGATATTCTCTCTCTTTTTCTTCTGATCCATTTATATAAAACCTGTCTGAAAATGAGCTGATCAGATTTTGGCCACTTTATGATGTCATAACAATTTTTTGGCTTGTGTAACCATTAGCCAATCACCAACTGAGGTAACCCCCCCCCCACCTTATCACCTGAATCTCCTCCTAGAGCACCATTGTGTTCTTTTTAACCAAATCTCTCTCAGAGGGGCGTGGGGAGGGGCTCCTTATTTTCATCTAAAGTAACAGACTGAGAATCAGCACTTTGGAAACAGGGCTGAAACAGAGGGGATTATGGGTAATGCTGCAATGATCTGTTTGGTGTTTGGAGCCAAACACTTCAGAGACATGTTCTGTATTTATCTGAGACCTATAATATATTGATGAGGACCTTTAAGCAGCACATTACACCTCTTTTAATGGTAGTAATATACTGTATATTTACCCCTTTAACTGCCCTGTAGTTCACCATGACTGAAGTGTTAAAGCCCTCCTTATTGCCAGCTTATAACATATTTATGTTAAGAGCACTACTGTAATTACATGGTTTGTTTACTGTTAAAATGTTACTTAGGTTACAGTGTCAGTTACAGTTCAGGTCATCTCAACATAAGGAGACAGGGGATGAGGGATGCTCCAGCATCAGCGTTTCAAATCTGACTCCTAAGTATCATTATATATTCTATATCTTTCAGAAGTGCATCTGGAAACTTGTTTAGGGTTATTATTTAGAAAATAAAAAACAGCTAAAAACATCTTATAGGACAAAAAATCCCCAAATTTGCTCCTTATCTTAATTGTTTTTACTATTTAACGTGAGGGGCGTTCAAGGTTAATTTCTGTTTTTTTACTTTCTTTCTATTGCCAAAACCTTTTCTGACCTCTACTTCTCGCAAACAGTGCTGAACTCATATGTTTTGCATCAGGGAACACAAGAGCTTTTGAATGTGGGAGAAAAATACGTCAGATCCGTCTTTTCTTTTTATTTATTATGAAGGAAATCCATAAACACCTACAAGCCTTAAACAGAAAGACAGTAGCAAAAATAGAGTCTTTTTTGTGACAATGTTATCTCACCTCTTATCTAAAAATATTTGAGTGACATACAGTAAGTATATTATCTGACCTTATACTATTCAGGAAGAGGAGGATGATCATAAAGGTGCCTCTAACACTTCAGACTCCCTCCTCTTTTATTCTAACCGTGTCTTTACTACTGATTCTCTCATTCGCTCAGGACGGCTCCGGTCCTCACCTCCCCACCGCCTACGAGCCGGAGCCATTCGCCAAATACGGCACCTTGGACGTGGCCTTCGAGTACGACTCCGGGGAGCAGTGGTTGGCCGTCACGGTCACCGCGGCGACAGACATCCCCGCTCTGAAACAGACGGGAAACATCGCCTGGCAGGTCCACCTCGTCCTGCTGCCCACCAAGAAGCAGCGAGCCAAGACGGGCGTGCAGAAGGGGCCGTGTCCCATCTTCACAGAAACATTTAAGTTCTCCAGGGTGGAGCAGGACGCCCTCGGGGACTACGCCGTGCGCTTCCGCCTGTACAGCATCAGGAGGATGAAAAAGGAGAAGGTCCTGGGAGAGAAGGTTTTCTACCTGACTAAGCTCAACCTGCAGGGGAAGATCGCGCTGCCTGTCACCCTGGAGCAGGGCTCTGAGCTCACGGTGAGAACACTTTGTACATTTCTATCCAGGCACAGTTTCATCTGAAGCACTGGGATTTAGTTTGACAACGAACATCCCAACTGAAGACCTGAGAATATATTGAAAATGTATTTATTAGTCAATTCATTTTTGGATCTATAAAATTATGAAACTGTGAAACATACTTATTGGATTTTCTAAGAGCCCAATGTGACGTCTATGTTTTTTGTTCCACCAACAGCCCGATTAACAATCAATATAACATCATGTAAGACAAGCAGGAGGAGGAGGGAGTGGAACCAACCAATGTTGGGCATTTTTGCGTTATCAAAATAGTTGCTGTTTCTACATTTATTAGTCAACTAATCATACGTTGTAAATGAGTCTTCTCATTATTTAAACAAGGTTCAGTTCTTGTGTTAAAGATTAGGGGCTTCATTTCATCATTCATTGCTACATTTGACTGCAATGACTCCTTTATCCGAATATCAACGATAGAGATCAGTAAATGAAGGACTGGGTCAAGGTGGCCCAGTCCTTAAATGTAACGTCTGGGGATCGACACATTTTTTGCGATAAATTCTGAAGAGAACATAAATATCTGTACCAAATATCATGATAGTTTATCCAATAATTATCTGTAGAAATGTTGTTTGAAGCCCCAAATGGTGGCACGGGAAGCACAATTAGAGGATTACAAAAATCTGTAGGGTTTAGAAGCAAATTCTGTACAAAACTGTCATGGTAATAAATCTCGATATTTCTGTGTGAATGAAAGTGTTGGAACGCCTGACCTCCGTTACTAGAACGAAGCTGCTCATTCGGCTAAAAAGTTCTTAATGTAATTTGTTATCCTGGTTGAAGCGCCAAATGAAAGAAGACTTACTTTAACATACTGTAAAATATCCCACTGATGCCTTCTGTCTACTCCTGAGTAACTCCGTGTGTGTGTGTGTGTGTGTGTGTGTGTGGGTGTGTGTGTGTGTGTGTGTGTGTGTGTGTGTGTGTGTGTGTGTGTGTGTGTGTGTGTGTGTGTGTGTGTGTGTGTGTGTGGTGTGTGTGTGTGTGTGTGTGTGTGGTGTGTGTGTGTGTGTGTGTGTGTGTGTGTGTGTGTGTGTGTGTGTGTGTGTGTGTGTGTGTGTGTGTGTGTGTGTGTGTGTGTGTGTGTGTGTGTGTGTGTGTGTGTGTGTGTGTGTGTGTGTGTGTGTGTGTGTGTGTGTGTGTGTGTGTGTGTGTGTGTTGTTACCAGGGTTGTGGCTCTGTGGTGAGTGTTTCTCGCAGCGCAGGAGCTCTGTCCTATCGCTCCATTGAAGACTCCTCCCTGCCGGAGCTCCTGCTGGGTCTGCTCTACAACTCTGCCACGGGACAGTTATCTGCTGAGGTCGTCCAGGGAAGCCACTTCAAAACCCCGGCGTCGGAAAAACCCGTCAGTGCGTACAAAAGCTTCCACGTTAAACCTTTTACTCTGTGACAACTTCCTTTCTTTAAAATGTAATGTTGCTTCCCCAAAGTGTGCAGATCACACTCAGCAATTGTTTGGCAAAACAGATGGGCAAGGCTCCCAGCAGCATGTTAAAAAAAACTAATTACCACCATTACATTTTGTAATGTTTCCTGGCAACAACAACTGCTTTTTAAGAACCAAAGTGCTTAAAGCCATAATGCTGAAACAATCGCTGTGTGTCAGAGTTCCCATGAAGCTGACCTTGTGGTGTATCTCGATCTTTAAACTGTTTCCTCTCTTTCTTCCTTCTAACTGTGTGTGCCGTGGTGTGTGTGCCACAGACGGTCTGTTCTGTTGTGTTAAACACTTTGTTGGGGGGCAGCTTTATGTCATGAGAGGTAAGTCAGCAGTGAATGACTTGTAGTTAGACATCATGGTTAGACATATGTGAACGGTATATGTTCAGGTTTTGTTCTAAAAAGGTTTAAGGACTTGAAAACTGTCCACAGTGATATATGTTGATTGTTAGAGTAACAAGGACACTCATTTTGAAAGGAAAGTATGTGGATCTGTTTAAAATGTTACTGTTAATGCTGTAAGCACCACAATGGAAATGGAAAAGACAGAGATATCTAAACAATCTAGCAAATAAAGTTAACTCTCTCTTCATAGGTACCAACATGGGTAATTGATAAATATATTTGTTTAAACCGACTCTTTAAAAAAAACAAAACATTATGTTAATGTACAATCACTGACTTTTGATTATAGCAGGGCTTTTCAAAGTATGAGACCTCCACTCAGGTAAAGCTTGGACAAAGAAACCTCCTCACCCATCCAGAGCTTTCTTCTTAACTACATTTCTGGTTGCCTATGGGACCATGACTATGTTATTGGACCCTATACATACTCAGCAATTGAGGAAAAACAGCCTAATATTGCTGTTTGAATGATCTCTACACTACATGTCATACAAAAAAAAAAGGTAATTTACTAGTTTCTGATCCTTGGAAGGTGGGAGAAACCTCCCCAAAACGGATCTATCTCTGGGTTATCTCTTAAATCTAATCACATTTAGGGTAATTTCAATTATTTTTGGATAGTTTATGTAATATTTTTGCTTCTCTGACTCTGTCTGGAGACCCCTTGGGGAGACCCGTCTTACACTTTGAAAACTCTCGATTAAATCACAAGATATTAAATCAATATTTAAACCCTCTGCCTCCGTTTGTTGCAGTACTGATATCCCTCCACTGGATGGCTCTCTCTGCCCGCTCTCTTTCAGACACCTACGTGAAGCTGACCATGCTGGACTCCAAGGGGAAGGAGATGTCCAAGTGTAAGACTGCCGTGTGCCGCGGGCAGCCCAACCCCACCTACAAGGAGACCTTCCTGTTCCAGGTGGCGCTCTTCCAGCTGTCCGAGGTGTCTCTGGTGCTGTCGGTGTTCTGCCGGCGGAGCAGCATGAGGCCCAGGGAGCGGCTGGGCTGCGTCTCCCTGGGCCTCAACAGCACCAGCGAGGACCAGCAGGCCCACTGGACAGAGATGAAGGAGGCGGAGGGGCAGCAGGTCTGCCACTGGCACACACTGACCAACACATAGGGGGCGGAAGATTCGAGAAGACTGAGATTTTACAACATTCCCAGAGTTTCAAGGGGGGGTAGCAGAAGCACCAGGAGGGATGTGTGTGCGCTGCGTACAGGTGTGTAGGGTTTCACTGCCAGAGACTGCATGAATACCCTTTAATCTGCCACAGACTTTTATTGGCGGAGGTGGAAGCTTCAGCGCCAGCCTTTTATTGACAGAGAAAAATGCAGAGGCAGGCAGACTGAGAATGAATGACATTATCATTACTGAACTTAAAAGAAGGAGTGGTTTTTTCCAGTAATTCTGCCTACAGCAAGGTCTGCATGTAACTGTTTACAGGACACATTTTTCTGTCTCTGAATCTTGGACCAAAGAGCTCGGTCCATGACTAGCAGACTCCTCCCTGTCTCTTGTTCTTCTTCTCTGGATTTAAGCTGCCACCAGCATACCAGACATTTCTCTATCAGTCATAGCCATTGACAAAAGAGAAGGCAACGAAAAGACTGTTACAAAAGGGCCTACAACATGCTGCAACTATGCTTACAAGCTATGCTTTGTACAGATTGTTTACATGCACATGACATTATGCAAGATCCATTTATCATTTCCCCTCTTTTATGTTTTTGGATTATCAGTCAAATGGTTTACTAGATTTATGTGTCTCTCTGGGGTTTGTGCTACAAAAAGACACTTTATTATTTGATTTATTTTGGTGTTGCATAACTCGCTACACTATGCATCCAACTCCACTTTAAGCTGGAGTGAAATTCTGTCTTCCGCTCGCTGAGTCTCTTTCAGAATTGGACACAGCCCTGCATGCCACTGTATCAAAGAGCAGCTTCCTTTCCTGTGTAGTACAGATTGAGCCTGTTTCACCATTCAGCCTTCTGACAACTCAGCCATGTTCATTCATGTAGAAACATGGTGCTTCCCGCTGAGGAGGGATATGCAAAAGCCTGCGCAGTCCAATAAACCGGGCTGCCGCTGACAGCAGTGAAGTGAGCTGGAGTGGCAGAATGAAATTACATTTAAAAAGGAACATTTTCTGATTACAAGGGAATAGAAGGATAATTAAATAAAGGCGGAAATAAATTAAAACATTGTGCAGGAGTGGGAGGAATCTGGTTTTACATGCATCTGGAACAAAGCCAATTTCATTAGCTATGAGTCAGAAAATCCCCCCAAAAACATCAGTGCAGACTCCACAGCCACACCCCGAGTTTCAAGCTGAAGCATGAAGCCCTCCCTCTTCTCTCCTCTGGCTGAAGCTGAGGGGTGTGGGATGCATTTTTCTCGTCTCAGTGATGTCAGACATGACCCCGTCCTCTGGGTTCGGGGCCCTGCAGCTACACTTCCCTCTGACAGTTCCTGCAGAGCCACATTTTCAATTAAATTCATTATAAGATATAAACCAGATGTCTAGCATTCCTGAGAGATAAACACATGGCTTTTGATTGCAGAGATGGGAATCACAGCCACTGGAGTGTTTTCATTAGAATGGCATTTTGTTCTAAGCACAATGTGTGCGTTACCAGCATTTACAACCCTTTAGTTCCACTTTTTGGGAAACGACTGACCAATCTCATGCCAGTATGATAAATATGCTTACAGACAGCAGCTGGGTTATTTAGCATTAAGTCAACTGTGGAAGCCCATTTCTGCCCAAAAAATACTTCAAAAATTACGAGATAGCTTCTTAAAATGACTTATCTCAGTAGCTATAAGCTAGGCAGTTTCATTTGTACTACCCAGACCAGACAGTGGTATCAATCCTTTCATCAAAGAAACTGGGGGGATTTAAACATTACCAAAAACTCAAGATTCCCTCTTCCTATCTTTAGGACATATCAAATACTCAACGTGCAGGAGTGTGTTTTGTAAAAGTTAAGAAAAGAACGAGGCTATACGTCAGATACTGTTTTAACAATGTTTTTATTTCCATTAATCTGGCCTTCAATGGTATGTCTGACGCTGTCATCACAGCTCAGGCAGCGCTGCAAGGGGCTGGAGGCGGACCCTCACCCTGGATCACACATAGTTTCACCCAACACCCAGCAGAGGGACCGCAGCCTTCAGGGGGAAAGTATCCTGCCCCAGGCCATGGAAAACCAGCTGTGCCACATATCCTGGAGGAGAGGGGGGAGGTACTGACTTCCAAAAAAATACCATCTAATCCCATTTATGCCCCAGGACAGGTAATTATGAGGCCCCTAGGAGCTGCAATAAAAGCGTTCAGGTGAGAAGACATGCTGGTTTTTAAAGTCTGGTGCAGCACGAGTGCACATTTCCATTTTAGACTTGTGTAATTAGGAATCTGGCTCGTTACCCTGTTTACCTAACATGCCTAATGTAATGGTTTTGAGGCAGCAGCAGCAGCCACCTGGTTCAGGTAGAGATTTGGCTTCAAAGACACTTTAGGACTGTGCCAGAAGCTTCTTTTCATTTTATGACATTCTGTTTCAAGTTGACCTTCCTAAGAACCAGGACATCTTGACGTCCATAAAACACTTTCCTGCCTGAGTGCTGCTCTCAGGTCTGTTAGGTTCCCTCTCAAGCATTTAGTGGCACAAGCTAGTTTTCCTTGGTAATGTAATAAAGATATACGGCTAAGTCCTGTTGGGACTTCTTAAGGATAAGGAATAATGAACTACAATGTTTTGTTATTTTATTGAATGTGTCATCAGTTTTAAAAAATCTTTCTTAATAATATATTCAATAAATATACAGGAACCATGGACTTGTGAGAGTTTCTGTTTCATAAAAGCATCCTCACAGTTAGAATCTTATTTGGGGGAAAGCATCATTAAATTGTTTTTTAAAAAGGTATGTTTTTAGGTTAATGTTTTGTTCAGATTACACGATTTAAAGTCTGATCAAATAAAGGACTTTGGACTTATAATACATGATGGAAAGGGCTCCAATGGATCGCCTTCTGAACGTAAGTACCATGCAGAGTGGAAATGGATGTACCAGACTGCAACCACTTACACGCTGCACCCGAAACAATGCTCTGAAGCAGCAGACATCGTACCTATTTGGCAAAGAAAACATTCATCAAGCAATGGTAAAAAACAAACAAAGTGGAACCAATATGGCGACACTAAAGTGACGTTTCTGTCTGAGCCGGGAGAGATCTATACAGGAGGCATGAACATGGCGGGACATTTCTATTACATCTGTCGCAGCGCTATAACTGGAAATATATTAAAGAGAGTAGTTTGAAATGTTGGAAAACTTATTTACGGTCTGGTGAGTAAGATGATACTATTTATTAATTCAATATAAGGCTTAGCTTTAGCCTGTTGCCGGTTAGCTTAGCAAAACACAACAACTGGAAACAGCTAAACAGCTTGTCATGTTTACACCTTATGTTTTGTTTGGATTTAACAAACACATTAGTAAGTGCGCTTCAAAGATACTGAGGCAGATTTTGGTACGAGTCAAGGACAGAGACAGGCTAGTTGTTTTTCAACCAGTCTCCATTCTTTATGCTAATCTAAGCTAGGCTAAGCTAAGTTGACAGATTTCAGAGCTGTAAATATCTAACTCTGCACATGAAAGCAAATCATTGTATTTCCTAAAACGTCAAGCTACTCCCTTTAATCTTTTTTATTTATTTGTATATTATCCTAATTGTGTTAAATGTATCCTTCTTTACAATTACAACTTTAATTAGACATCCAAACATTTTCATTTTCTGATTTTGGCAGCAGTGATTCATGACTTGGTTGCACCTCAGTAAGGGACATTGTAACCATTGGCTGGTTATCATTATTACATTTAAAACATGACTACTTGAATCTCAGACCAGTTTTACAAACACCCTATAGCATAAAAAACAGGCCATTTTCAAACACTCGTCGCAGAGTGCGGATCCTGTAAGCATAACAAAATGACAAGATGGTGGCTGGTTTCCATGACAGATTTGAGGCATTATGGTGACCACTGAAGTGAATTCCTTCTTGAACATGTGACAATACTAAACATGATTGGGCCAAAGTCTTCAGTCGAGCCCCCGTTTCCTTCTCGAACCAATGAGTTTGTGTCTGATTTCCAACAGGCGGAGGATCTGGAAAAAGTTTGTCCATCAAAAAAGATTTACACATTTAGATTTAAAAGAAGATTTTCCAATAAAATACCTCTGACCCTCAGTGCTCGTCTTGCGTACAAGTACAGTTTGTTACTGTGAAAATGAAAAAAATCGAAGTGTCAGCGATGTGCTGCTGATGCCCTCCCAGCTGAAGCTGTCGACAGGCGGCTGGCGAGCGCAGCATGACATCAGTCCGTCAGTGAAGCAGCTACAGCTCCATTGTAAGGTAGAGTTAATGTACACTCGTCTGTACAACCGTCCTCTTTCCTCGGCGACCGTTAAGAGGTGCAAAAGACATCTGTAGTGGTTGATGATTGAGCGTCATTGAAGAACATGAAAAAGGAAGAGTGACATCCACTGAAAAGGCTCATTTTCTTGGCAGTCGTCCCTTTCAGCTTCCACTCTTCACATTTCCAGTAGAGTTGTGGATTAGACCACCCAGCCAACAGCTTTAAAGGTCTTGTCTCCCCCCTGGGCAATCTCCTCACCACCAACTTTTCCTTTGTGCATTTATCTGGCAGTCCATCCATCTTCATCACTGCGTGCAGAGGGAGCTGCTGTTCTTTTAAATACTTCCAGTCCTTCAACCCTCTCTGCTTTTGGCTCTTTGCTGGGCCACTCAGCCCGGTGCTATATGAACTTAAAGCACTTGGTCTTGTCGTGGGGCAAACGAGTCTTAAACAGCACAGAGTCCACGCGAAACTGTGTGTACAGCAGCGGCATGTAGCCGTACACTTTGACGAAGAAATTGATGCACTTGTGGCGTTCGTGGAAATGGGAGTCGTCGTGTGAAAGGGCCTGAGGGCAGCCGGGACAGCGGAAAGTCCAACGTGACGTCACCTAAAGATGGACAAAGAGACAGTATAGTCATATGTGTAGGCAGTATTTCACAGCACAATAGGCGCATTCACACCGCAGTACTTTTCCCACAAAGGTTAATCAGAACTTAGTTCATGAGAACTCTTTAGTTCTCATGAACTAAGTACAGATCGCGTTCACACCGGAATAAGTCCCTGGGGGAGGATTAGGCAAATGAAGCCGCTGACGTCACTTCTTCTTCTTCTGCTTTGGGTTTACTGGCAGGCCGCAAACCACTTCACGCCGTATACTGCCGCCCAAAGTCCCCGGCCGGAAGTCCCCGGAGTTGGGGACTGGCTTCAGTAGAAGCTGCTGGGAGTCCCAGCAGCTTCTACTGAAGCCTTCCGAGTAAATCGCCAGAACGCCGACACCTCCTCATCTCCACCGCTCCCATGTTTTATTTTGTGTTGCCATAAGTTAGTCTCTCTGCGTTTCTGCGCTGGGCTAATGCTAATAATGCTAATGCGAGGATAATAAAATGGCGGCTTCACAAAACTTTTTGGGAGTTTTACGGGGCGTGGTTTGCAATCCGCCCAGCCAATCAGACATAGGAACCTTTTTCTCCCACGAAAGTACCTGCTCTCTAGCAGGGACGGAAAAGGGGGTGAAAAGGTTCTCATGAACTAATTTTAGTTCCGGCTCTTTTTGGTATGAACGCAACATTTCGGAACTATATCAGAACTAAAGTGGGAAAAGTACTGCGGTGTGAACGCGCCTAATGCTGCTGTAGGAAGAGATGGTGCAATGTAGGATAACAAAAACACTCCTTAGAATTATCTACAATACACTACAAAATAAAATAAAAATGCCATTTATTAGTTTCATGGACGAGCATGAGTTGAGGATGCCATCTTCTTGATTGGGACCCATCAGCATAAGCCTCAGTCTTTTAAGACAACACCATGACACCGTCAGCATGTCACTGTGTCCTTGGGCAAGACAGTAACATGTAATATACTGTACTTTGAGCACTTGGAAAAGCGCTAAATAAATACCATGAATTATTATTATTCTAAATTTAAAAAAATGTTAAGACTAAAATGGATCAGCTTGTAAAATTAAAAAGTCAGCCAGAGGTGGAGTTTTAAAACTGATTAGGGAGCTGATTAGCTCAACAGCTTTTTGCTTTGCTAGTAAAAACAGCTAGCTATCAAAACATGTCATGCCTTTGTCTTTCATTGTCTAAATGATGGAACAATATCTTTAAAAGGTAAATCATTATTTTAAGTAGTAAATCTGCCCCAGTTATCATGTAGCTGTTAACTGCATATGTAAAATGCAAATAGGGGGCAGGATACAGAAATAAATCCTAAAAACTGAGTTTGAATGTTAATTCATCAGCAGTGATTCATAAAAAGTCATTTATTTTCTGTTTTATTTGACTCCACATTAAAACTTGCCCCAAATTCATTATTCACAAGGCTTATTCCTGGCAGCGAATTGCTGTCATGCACAACACACTCCATCAAAGCAGTCCTTAATTCCCCAATGAAACACCCCTGAATATTAACACCACTAAATCAAAAATAACTTAAACCCAGGGCTGCAATAACATTTCTGCTCCAACAGCTTCCATGCTGTGATGGCTATAATTATTTGTCTAGCCATAAATATGCCCTAAGGTAATAAATGTCCTTCCGATAAAAATCCAGTTGAAAATCAGGAATAGCGCACCAATTCGATCTTGTTTTTTCTTGATTTATCATTTGTGTGCAATATTGGATATGTCAGTTTGAGTAATGGCGAGGCTAAGTGGGAAAAAATATAAATACATGGTGCCTGCAGGAGACACAAAGATCACAGATGCTGGACTGCATGCCCCGTCACTGACCTTGATGGGAGGTTTTCGGGTAATGTGAGAAACCAGGAAGTTCATGGCGATGTCTTCACAGTTTATGTACTCGTCCACCATGTCCCTGATAGCCTGGGGCATCACGTAGGAGTACAGGTAGGCGTAGTACTACATCAAAACAAACACCAGGGGACAAGTCAATTATGTGGCTATGAGACGAGATACATTTGGCTGCATGGTGTATGTTTTTTTTGGGGGGATGATGAGTTCAAGGTCTGACCTTATGGAAGAAAGCAGCTCCGGTCAGGACCATGGAGAGCTCACAGGAGTAGTTGGAGTTGTAGAGCCAGGACTGATGGTTCACGTCCCACGCATGGTACCTCCCGGGGAAACCCACGATGCGATCTCTGGCCTCGCGCCACACTCTGTGAGACAAAGTCAGCAGAAGTTCTCCTTTAAAACAACTCTTGTTTGTGGGAATTGTAGAGTGAAAAATACCGTAGAAAACATTAGTTTTTTTAAAGGATAATTGGTTTTTGTTACCAATTAGTTTGCAATAGGAAAATTAGAGAACAGAGAAATTAAAAAGTATTTTAATGTTGAAAATAATCGATAGTGCCCATGCTACTTTGTGATGAAGCATTAGCACACTGCTAATAAAATAAATGGCTGATAAAGGTTTGCCGGATCTCATAATATATGTCATCACTTCCTCTCAATGACATTTAAAACATTTTTAATGCAGCTGCTACGTGATTTCCTTCATAATGAAACGTTGCTCTAATCCAGTTTATAATTCCTCATTTTAAATGAATGAATTAAGACATGACTGGGCAGAATTATTAAATGTTTAATGAACTTTTAATTGTTGTTGTTTGCCAATTTTTTTAAATGGTCATTAATTTGGTTTAAAAGTGCCGTGTTTGAACTTATCTGTATAAAACACGTGACGCATTTTTTCCTCCTGGGAATAATTAAGTAATTATCCTCTTGTCTTTTATCAGTTTCACACTACCATAATGTAGCCCTATAGCGGCGGGAAGGTTTTGGAGATAAATCTGTGTTTCATCTTATCAGATTAGATACTTGGAATTCCTTCTGCAGACAGACAAATCAAGAAATCTCTAAAAGCAATCTAATGTTTTAAATGAGCTAATGTGAGACCACTTAAATGTCTAAGACAGTCAGCTGCTGCGTAATGTTTCTCTTTGGAGAAAGTGTAGCTTCTCCGTAGTGTAGGTAATTCTGGGGAAGTTTGAGATGTTTCATGACGAATGACACCCTACACACACATACCATGTATACATCACTTCAGGGGACATTACATTGACTTACATGCATTTCCTGGAGACTTATCCTAACCAACACATGCCTAACCCTAAGCCTTACCCTAAACCTAACCAAGTCTTCACCCTAAAATTAATGAGTCCCCCCATTTTGTCTCCATAAGGGAGGCGAGTCCCCACACGTGACTGTGTGAACAGATTTAGGTCCCCACAAGTATAGTAATGCTAACACACACACACACAAACTTTCTGCCTGCCTGGACACGCAGCTGCAGCACGGTGGTGTAAAGGAGTGTGTGAGAGGGAAGGGGAAGGTGCAAAAAAGATCTGCTCTTTTAATTGGATTAGACATGGCCTTCACAATCTGCCTATCCAAGTAAAGTATTAACAAATAAATCATAATTACAAGGAAGCATGTTTTCCTTTAAATTGATCTGGCTGAGTTTCGAGTGGTGGCTTCAGTTTTTCTGTAGAATTCAGAATTTTTCAGGAATGCGAAGCTTCTGCATTCTTTGGGGCATTTTCCCTTCCCACTGGAGACGAAGCTTTCCGTTTAATTACGCTGCATTTTTTCGACTCTTCACGCCATGTCTCTTGAGAAAGAACAATTTTAACTATCATCAAACTTGGTTTGTTCAACAAACAAAAACACATTTCTTTAATCACAACCCCTTTTCTTTTCAAAATAACTGGAAAAAAAGCGAAAATTGTGGTCTGTAAAGATTTCCTTTAATTGCCTGTCCTTCCCCTCCACGTCTGGATGCCTATCATCAAACACTAAAGGTAATTGTTTTGTCAATGCAGTGCCTTTCAAAATGTGAGTACTAGGCCTGTCGCGATAATCAATAAATTGACTTATTGTACGATAAATGAAAATGGACTCGATAACTTTTCTGAGCTCGATAAATTGCCGTTTACATGCGTGTTTGTTTACATAAGGATGTGACCAGCATTTTAGCCAGGAGCGCTATGGCTGCCAGCCCGGCGCGCTGTGAGGGGCGGGGCTCACACACAGCCCATGACACAGCCAAGGACACTCCACGTGCAGCAGTGTAGCAGCCAAATGAATAATATAGAGACAAGCAGGAGACAACGTGTGACTTACTCGAGGGGAATTTGAAGTTAAATGGAAGTGGTTGCAAAACCTAATACCACATCTCCGGTGTGGGAATATTTTGGATTTAAGCCAAATCAACGAGGCGAAACTACGGACTTGAATGAGCCGGGCGGTGTGTCGCATTTGTTTAAAAAAAGGTAGCAACAAAAGCTAGCAATACGACCAAGTAGGGCTGCTCAATTAATCGTATTTTAATCGCAATTACGATTATGGCTTGCAACGATTACGAAAACAACCTAATCGAAATAAAACGATTATTTTTTCATTATTACTTTTTTTTAAATTGGTTTTTCAGTTGCATTATACTTACTGTTCAGGGTAAACATACTGTTCATATTTTTTTTCTCCAATAAATTGATGTTTTCAAAGTAAATGGATTATCGTTTTTAATAATCGTGATATCAATTATTGACCCAAATAATCGAGATTATGATTTTTGCCATAATCGAGCAGCCCTACGACCAACCTTAAACTGCATCTGAAACACAACCACCCCATTCTGTGTTCCCAGCTGGGAGCAAACACGGCAGCTGGAGATGGAGAGCCCCCACCTTCCTGACAGTTTGCAATCAAAGATGCATTTGCCCGACAATGTAAACATGTTGGTGTTCCTTGCTCGAAAACTTTTAAATACTGTACAGATTTGGATATGGCCTGTTGAGGCATCTGGGTCTTTGTATGGACAGTGGACTGTACACTTGACTGTTGTTTTAAGGAGGTTTTTTTTGCTTGTGATAAAATGTGTGCTCATATTTATTTATATATATGAGAGAGAGCGCTCGGTTTTCCAGCCTGAGTCTATTTAATTGATTGTTTTGGTTGTGTGTGATTTTAATTAATTTGTTATAATTAAATGTATTAATTGTATTTATTATATATAATTTATATATTTGAATATTATTTCACATTTCATTTGCAATGTTGAATGTTCAATACAAAGTTCTGTTTGAAAGGATGTACTTGAATTATTATTATTATATATGATCAGTATGTCAGTGGTCTAAAATGGTCTTACAAAGGTGCCGACAATATTATCGTTTATCGCAATAATTTCCGGGAAAATGTATCGTCCAACAAAATTAATTCTCGTGACAGGCCTAGTGAGTACTTAAGCAAACATTTGTAATTAAATTAGTAGAGATTTGTGTTCAATTCTACATATCTTTGTTTTTCCCCGTAGAAAATCCACTTGAATTCAATGTTATAAGACAATAAAATGCTTTGTGTTTTGAACCACACAAAAGTAATGACAAATGCATGTGTTTTCGGGTGATGTGAGAAACCCAAGAGCCCAAAGTGATGACACATGTTGTTTACAGGGTTTCTCTCTTTTATGTATGAATCTCTAAGATCTCATGCACTCTGTTACTGTCACTGACCTGAACCCGAACATGATCTCGTCGTGGCGGAGATGAGCGTCATCGTCAATTGACAGGATGGCCTCGGTTTCCACGACGTCCCAGGGAAGGAAGCGGTTGTTGAGGCTGTTCTTCTCTGTGCGGACAACCTGCAGGCGCAACAACAAACTCTTTCAGTCATTATCCTGAGAAGTGATACTTTATAAAGAGGCTGGATTGTGTGTTATATAGGTTTATGTGCATGTCAATGTTCTGCAAAGACTAAAATCACAAAGTTCGGATTCTTCCATAAGATATATTTTAGCACAAAAGTATTCCCAACATGTTGTAGTTATACATGATCCGTATAGAAGCAGTTTATATAAGCCTGTTAAATAGTAGTGCCAGGTGGCAGCAAAGACTCTGCTGGCAGGCACTGACAAAAACAGAATCTAATTCTTTAGTTTCTCTTCACAGCTTACCACTTGTCCCCGTCACAAACTAATGGGGTGAATATGAATCACATGAATATTTAATTTTTTCCAACTTAATTCAAAAGCCCACATTGTATTATTCATGATTGTCAGACTTCTCAGACGTCTAGTAATTTGTATGGACTCCTGCAGAGTTTCAAAGAAGAACTGATCCAAACAACTTTATGTAATGTACCGCATCAAACTTTGCACCACCTCAAAAACACTTTGAGTTACTCTTTTGCACTTCAAAGAGACGAGATAAGACAGAGATATATTCCTTACAAATACAAACAAACATCACTGAGATGAATTGGACATTTGTTGAACAAGAGTGTTAGACATTAGGAGCACTCACCACGATGGGCAGGCCGATGTCTGGCCACAGCAGGTCGTCTGAGGGAGGCTTGGGTGAGTTCCACACCACCACTACTTTGTTGAGGTACGGCAGTCCATTCAGCCTCTCCAGAGAGTTCATCAGCACCTCCTCCCTCTCATAGGTCAGCATGACCACGGTGAACTGTTCTCGGGGCACATTCCCTCCTAGAGCTGCCTGAAACTCCTTCCCTGAGCCTCCCGTACCTCCACCGATGGGCCTGAAGCCAGTTCCAGAGCCGAGGAATTTGGCTTCAGAGGGCAACACGGGGTCCAGAGGAGTGTGAGGGAACAGATGGAAAGGCCCCGGGGCCCGGTTCCATGCTCTATATGTTTCTGAAGCTGTGTATGTGAAGTTGCGGAGAAAGCGCGGAGAGGCGTAGGGGGGCTCCGTCTCAACAGGACCCAGATCCAGGTCCCCATTGTCAGCCAGGTTGGCATCAGTTCCTGCCAGCTTCCCTGCTTTGTGGGGAATCTCGTGAGCCGGCTCTTCTTTGATGGGAGCAGCAGGAACCTGGATGCTGGTTCTGATGCAGGCCAGGAGGGTGTTTAGAACATTCTCCGAGGTAGAGAAGTACGTTTCCCACAGGAAGCGGCCCTGCCGCCTCATGGCCAGCATGTCATTGTCTGATAGGCTGCGCAGCAGGAAGTGTAGCTCTGTGACACGAGGCTTAGGGACTATGATGGCAGCTTCGCTCCATCGAATAAGCTGGTGATACGGCAGTCTGGAGTGGTCCCCCAACACGACTGGGATGGTCCCCACTTCGAGGGCCTCAAAGAGCCTCATCCCACAGCCTGCTGAGGCCACCAGCTGCCCGTCCCCTGGAGCTATCACCAGGCCAAAGGTGGAAACCTTAAGCACCTCCAGCCGGTCCTCCCTCTCCCCACACAGAGCCCACTCAGTCGGCAGACTCGGCCGGGGGTTCTTGCAGGTGAACTCCACCAGCACCTGATCAAGGTGGCTGTCCTGCACCGCCTTTAAGGTGCCGATGATGCGATCATCGTAGTCGGCTGGTGGGTCTCCTTCCATCTCCTCCTCGAAAGTCTGGGGGGGTCCTTCCTGTAAGCTGCTCCTTAGTGACTCCACCCTCTCCCCCTGGAAGGTGAAGAGGTATTTCCTTTTTACAGGAACTTGAGGGGGCACTTCTAAAAAGTTTGGCTCTGAGAGGGCATGAACGAGCGGGGACACAACCAAGTCAAAGCCCTCGCGGTACTGCTGCTCCAGGAAGGTGGACTGAGCGACTGCCGCCCGTCCTGTGCTCACATTATACAGGAAGTTCTGTGTCATTGACATTCTAGAGAAATGCACCAGAACATGATTGTGTCCATCAGATCTCCAGTAAGGCAGAGCTTTCAGTTGCTTCTCCAGCTCTGAGGGAGGTGGAGGCGGGGAGGAGGACTCCTGCAGCTCCCCGACTAAAACCAAATAGAGACAGGCAATGCTGGGGTTATCGGTTATATAAATGTTGCTCTTCACTGATGCTGCAAACGCCTGCTTCACCAGGGGGTCAATAAAGTCTGCCCATGGATAGGAGGCTGTGTCATAGACATAGACTGGAAACCCAGAGGTGAGAGGGCAGCGGGCGTAGTCGAAACAGGAGCGTAGGCGGCAGGAGCGTGCAGACTTCGGCGGTGGTAAACCCGGGTCCTCCTTGTCTGGCAGCAGTCTGACCGGCAGTGAAAGCTTGGGCTGGTTCTGGGCCATCAGTTCTTTATAGGAGTGTTCCGTCTGGCTGATAACGTTCTTCAGCTGCAGCAGGTCCTGCTTGGCGCTGTCGATGCTGCGCTTGCAGGCCTCGATGCGCATGTTGAGTCGGGAGATCTCCCCGTTGAGCTCCTGCCTCTTGGCCTCCAGCTGCAGCAGCTCCTCGCTGACCGACTCGCGGATCCGGCACAGATCCTGCACATGTTTGACCTCACAGAGTTCGCCACCGGGCCGCGGGCCAAAGATGTGCTTCTCGGGACCCCCGGCTTCATCGATGGTTGTGAGGTAGTAATGGGCGATGAGTGGGAAGAAGACCAGGATGAAAAAGAGCATGAAACTGAGCCAGGTGAGACGCACGCGCCGTAACACCCATGGCTGGCCACCGGCGCCCGCCCCCCCGCCGTTACGCTGCATTGTTGATTCTCTCAGTCTGCTCCTTGCATTGCCAAGGAAGCGTTGCTATGGGGATCAGCAGCGGCCATGATACGACCTTGTCAGCAAGGTGAGGATCGGCCTCACCTGTATTCTAAAATAACCTCTGATGTGGTATAGCTCAGACAAACCAATACCATTTCTATTGCGGGGTTAAGCTATTTTCCTAATCTATTCCAGAAAACACTCCGGTGTCTGGAGAGTTCCCCTCGATGGGTGAGGCACGGAGGGCATGGCCGCTCACAGGTCAGAGAGACGGGTGGGTGGGCCAGCTTCTTCTATCCGGGTTGTGCTCATTTTTCGGTCACTTTTTCCAGGGATTCCTTTTGGAGATCTGGCTTCTGGAATATTCTTGTCCTTCTCAAAGCAGGAACCTGGGAGAGAAAAAAGTAAAATAGTGCCGATTATTAAAAAAAAATTCTAAAAGCAAGATCAAAGTAACTATTGGAGCTCACAAACAAGTTTTATGTCCCAAAACATTTTACATGCATATTTTGAAACTCATGACTGGGAACTGATAGCTGCATTTAGTAAAGCAGGCTCATTAGAAACTGCCTTGATGTTACAGATAACGTTTATTTTGTCATAACAGAGGCTGGAGGTGGAATGCTGCCATCCTTAATATGGCCCTCACAGTAGGAGAGCCAACACATCTCATTAAGGGTTCCTCCTGCACCCTGACCTCATCACTGACTCAAATTACCCAGCATCCCTGATAACAGTCCATCTGAAGAAGTGAGGTAGAATTATCTTCATTGGCTCAAAGGAGAAAAAGGCTTCGACAAAGGAAACCAGCTGCCCTTCTGATGCAGAAGGCTTCACTTCGCATGCCAATTTTATTTTAAGTGTTCAAGTTCTTCCCGATGGCTTGTGCTTTATCTTAAAGGAATGGTATGCTCATGACACTCATTTAAAAAAAATTATCATCCGATAAAACAGACCAGTCTCTGCCAGTCTCTCTTTTTTTTTTTTTAATCCGATGACATTATCAGTGATTTTAAACTGATTAATTACCGAAATAACATCAACACTGTGGGCGGCGCCATTTTACCGGACGTGACGTAAACCATGCGTTTGGTTTCGAGGACACGTTGATGTTCATGTTATTTACTGTAGTTACTCTCTTCAAATATGCCTCATTGTATCGCGAAACATTGCCACAATTCTGATAGGAACAATCCACGGAATGCTCGGTTCCATCTGTTGCCAAAAGGTAAGCGTAGGAAGTACGTTCGGAGGCAGTGGCTAGCGAAATGTGGCCGGCCCGAACCGAAAGATCCACAGGCGCATGTATGCAGCGAACATTTCAAGTTTCCGGACTACTCTGAGAGTATGATAAAACATAACATGGGATTTATTGAACAACCATTACTTAATGGAGATGCAGTACCATCGGTCTTTCTGGTGTCATCACCGACCAGGACACCAGTTCGGCCAGTTGAGAAATCGCCCTCTGCAAGTGTGAAGCGACGGAGGACCAGAAGTAGTGCTCGGAGTAAGAATAAGGTATGTTATGGCGCATTTCCATTGCAGCGGGTAGCCCCGTTTAAACGTCCTTTATCGTCCAGGCCAGGCCAGTTTTTGGTGGCCTTTCCATATAGCGTAGTACCGGCTAGTGGGTATTTCCCCCCAGTTTTTCCGGCCCCATAAAATCGTGGTTCTAGGGCCAGGGACAACAAGGCTGAGTATGCTAAACTAGAGAGGGAATCGCTAGCAAGGGTGGTACTACATGCATACATATCTAGTAATCAAAATCATTGTATCTACTAAGTAGTACTAAGTAGGCTCGAACCTGTATGGCTGAATTCCCCCTTCCAATCTCTTCATATTGCTCAAAACTTCGCCATGTTTTCGTGTGTTTACCATAGACCAGGGGTGCCCAACCAGTCGATCGCGATCGACCGGGAGATTCCCAGTCGATCGCGAGATGTGTCAAAAAATAGAACAACAATATTCTGTTTTATCGTTAATGTCCTGTAACATAATCTTCCTGTGCCAGAATAATGCACTTGAACGCATCAAAGCTTTGTGATTGGCCGGCGTGACCCCATGTGTCGGGGCGTGGCTGGTGAGCCACTGCTCACCAGCCACGCCCCGACACATGGGGTCACGCCGAATGGCAGATGGCAGTGTGCACTGCACTAGTTCGCTAATGTTGTCCGTGTCAACACAGGAGTGACAGTCCGCACACACACAAGACCGCAATTATGGCAGAAGCAAAACATATATAATTCTCACTCCGAGTGGGAGGATGATTATTTTTGTATCTATTCCAATTCAAAGTCCATCTGTCTCTCATCTGCAATGCGAGCGTGGCTTTATCGAAGAAGGGTAATTTAGGAGCGGCATTTCAAAACTGCACAAACGCTACGAGACGGAATTCCCTCCTAATTCTGCCCTACGCTCCAAAAGGGGAGGGGCCTGAAAGCACAGCTAAATGCACAGCAGTCCATTTTCACCAGGCCCAACAACAAGAGCAAGGCTGCTACGTGTCAGTCACGTTCTTGTCAAACACATGAAGTCTTTCAAAGATGGCGAAGTTGTGAAAGAAGCAGTCCTGGAGGCTGCCGACACGCTTTTGGGGGACAGTAAAAAACGGTAGCATTTCAACAGGTTTTTGATATAATAAAAACTCAAGTTAGATACCGTTATTAATCAGCTGTAAGTTTTAGTTTGTTTGAACTTATTCATTATAATTATTGTACAACATGGTATAAGAATGCAAACATTAAGATCTGTTCTGTTTAAATTGATTAGTCTATTATCAATTCAGGTTAAGAAGCTAGTGTTGCTTGCATCCTATTTTAAAGGCATTTATTTTTATACTCTACTAAAATGCAACAAAAAAAGGGTTTGATTCTATTAATGTTGTCTTTTTTATTGCACTTTGGCAGCAGATTCCTGTGTAGCTTCAGATCTGAGTTGTCTTATTAGTAAGCCTCATTTATACTTTTGTAGCAACACTATTTTTATATCATGGCAAAGAAAGGGTTCAGCGTCTTTTCTTTTTTCCTGTGTCATATGTGGCAGCACTTCAATGTTTCTTGAAAACATTACCCACTGTAGTGACGTGTGAATAAACTCCAACTCTGTATCAACAACACTTGTGTAACTTCAGTTAAATACTTGTATGTGTGTAGATTAGAAAGAGGTAAGATAAAGGATCTGCAGTATTTTATGAAGTATTCATCGTAGAAAGGTCAGTTTTATACAAGTAGAAATGTGTATTTACCTGGTAGTAGGCTGTCAGTAATGGCTACGCCTCTATATTTGGACTGGTAGATCTCGGCAGACTGGCAACTTTAAAAGTAGCTCTCGGTTCAAAAAAGGTTGGGCACCCCTGCCATAGACTGTATATGGTGTTTACAAAGTGAACGCATGGATGACGTCACGACCATCACGTGACTACTGAAAATGGGCAAAATGGCAGCGGCCTGACGGAATATACAGGTTTTGATAAAAAAGAGCTATAAAATCATTATTTACCGGGGAATATCGCTGATTTCTTCAGGGTATGGTTTAAACATAATGTTTCACTAAATACTGAAGTTTTGATTAATTATCTAATGAGTGGAGCATTCCTTTAAGATCAATGCAAGAATAACCATACATACATCTTTCTCAGATCATGTTCTCCCGGTTTGGAGCTAGTTAGAAAATATAAGAATGCAAGAAATAATGAAGATCTTGGAAGCTGAAGTGTGCAGATGATTTAAAGAGATAGCTCGAGACCAAAAACCAAACTGAAAGTAATATTAGGTCACCTTTCAGAAAGAATCTTATATAATGAGCATTGTGTACATTTCAGAACAGATTGTTTCTTTCCACGGGCAGCAGACAGTCTACTTTCTGAGCTTCATAGCTAAATCACTACAGCACAAGCCCGGAGGATGTCCACAAAGTGCCAAACAATCCTTATCAAACACAGAAACCCACAACACTGAGCGTTGATAAAGCAATGCGGTTCAGACCAGAGGCAGAAAAGGAACGCAGGTGCTGTTTACCTTAAGCCGACATAACAGCTCCTCTTGATAAGGATACAACTCCTACGACTGGTGAATTTAAGCCTGTGCGGTTGTAACGGTTTCATTACTGCCCGGTTAAGATCACAGCACAGAGAGATAACCATCTTAAAAATAAACATCTTTCATTCTGTCAAGTAAAAATGTCTCCGTGCTGCCTCCACGTGACGGGCCTTTCTGATGTTTAGAGATTACTTCTCCCCCGTCTACCCTGAAACACTGTATGTGTGTGTGTGTGTGTGTGTGTGGGTGGGTGTGTGTGTGTGTGTGTGGGTGGGTGTGGGTGTGTGTGTGTGTGGGGTGGGTGTGTGTGTGTGTGTGGGCCTGTCAAGGAGAGGAATGAGAAAACGCACTGGCAAATCACATGACAGACACGTGATTTCATCTTGCTCAAAATGACCGACAGTCTCCTTTCAGCTGCGTGCCTCAATGCACCTCAAAGCTGTAAAGACTGATATAAAAACAGTTGGATAATTAATCGATCACAACTATGGGCAGAAAATGAATCAGTCAATTCAATTTGAAATGTTATTATTGATTGAGGGTCGAAAAACTGTGAGCAATGCTTATCAAAATGTCCAAGAATGAAATGTGAGTTCATGACAATCTATGTTGATATGAAACAGAAAAAAGGGAGCAAAACTTCACATTTGAAGAGATGAAAATTGCAAATGTTAAGCTTGTTTTTTTTTTTAAAGTCTTGTCGAATAGAGTCATTATCCGGCCGCACTAAGCACAGAGCCACCTGGATACTTCTGGATTTACAACCAAACACAACATTACCAGGATACTGACCAGAGGCTGAATTGTCCAAAGCTACAGTGCACCAGTATTAGATAAAATAAGTGATATGTGTTTCAGCCACAGCCAAATGTGAATCAATTCAGGTTAACATTAGACAAAATGCTCTGGTCCAACAAAGTACCTACAAACCAGTGATCTTTGGTTTATTCAGAACGTGTACAGTAAAAACTGCGAGGCCATGTGACCCTTTGAACGCTGACCCTACTCCTGCTGCGTAGCGATGTGCCCGAGGTGCAGAGTGACCGAGTGGCGACATCACAACTCTCTGATTAATTGCAGCCGGACTGCCAGTGTCACAGGGCTAATGGCAGACAGATGCTGGCAAACGCTGTCGCTCGGCCTAATCTGGAGCCAAAAACAAGATGGCTTAAAGCTCTGCCCGCCTGAGTCTGGGAGTCAGAGCAACACCACACGGATGGGAACTAAATCTCTATCTCTTCAGTTGTAGCTTCCTAATCTGCAGGATGTCTTCTCTGCGCAGCACTCAGCTTGATCTGAGAGCTGTTTGCATGGAAAACACACAGGAGAGCATTGATCGCTCCGGGTTT